AGGCATTTCTTTCTTTCTTTCTTTCTTTCTTTATACAATAGTGACAAATTGAAATGCTAAGAATATTTATACAGCTTGCAACAGACTGCTGCATTTTTTACAACAACGTAACATATTCCCATCTTACTACTTCACCCTTGGAGGCAACGGCATAAGCTGGAAGACTCAACTACAACTTATTGTGACTCTCTCGTCGACTAAAGTTGAGTATGTGGCAATTGTCGATGTGTTTAAAGAAGCATTATAGCTGAAGGGAATTATGTCTGAGGCAAGTTTGACTAATGGGAAAGAGATTATTTAGTCAGACAGCCAAAGCGCGATTCATCTAAGTAAAAATCATGTTTACCACGAAAGGACCAAACACATGGACTTGCGCTTCCATTTTTTAAGAGACCTGGTCACACAAGGAACAATTGATTTGAAGAAGGTTAACACAGAAGACAACCCAGTAGACATGGGCACTAAGATAGTCACTCCTACCAAGTTCAAGCACTGCTTGGACTTACTGTTTATAAAATAGGCAGGAGTGACCAGAGTGATGAGGGATTTGGTTGTGAGCAATCTGCACTAATATAGTTTCAAGTCTTCAGAGTGGAGATTGTTGAGTGAAGACTTGAAGCTGCGTCGTTTTGGAGTTAGTGGTGCGATGTCATTTTGTGTGGATAAGTTCAGACCATTGATCAAACAAAGATCCAACGGCTGTAATCATCAATTCCAATCAACTCTATAAAAGCAGCTCAATATTCAGATTCAAGTAGAGGCTTCTTGTGCGTTTTTGACATTGAGCAAGTGAGAGTTCTCTATTAGAGTTTACGATCTTGAATCAAATTTGTGTGACTTGTAAAGATTGAGCGATAGGATCTTGTCACTCTGTGAGGGTTATAGCTCTCTCAAGGTTTAGAGATTCCAGGGAGGATATCTCTAGGATTAGAAGTTACAATTTGGTTTGGTTTAAGGGTTGCTCAAATTAGGTTGATCTAGAGTGATTGTAAAATGTTTTCAATTAAAGATTAGTGTAGTGAGCTCTCTATTTCCGGAGCTCAACATGAATGTAGCCTATATAAATTGAATAGGTGAACCACGGTAAAACCTCTGGTGTTGATTCTTGATTCTTGATTGTGCGTATGTGTGATTGATAAGTTAGGCTTTAGTTACAACATCCAGCATAACATATAAGAGAGTTGGAATCGCCCAACAAAACCATCTGCACTTTATTATTTTCAGGATTATATCTTATAGATTTTATTTTGTTTCTGGTTTCTAATTAAAAACAAATTGCAAATTAAACAGTAATGTATTAATTATCCTTAATCAAATCCTTACAAGAAGCAGGAATGATAGTAAAACATACATATTGTTTGTAGTCTATAGCTTCAACAAACTACAGCTACAATAATATGAAAATTAAAGAAATGACAATTTTATTTAGCAAAGCAAATGGCGATGAGTTAATTGTGATGATGGTGGCCATGAGTTTCAGCCACTTATTGTTTGTAGTCTGTAGAGCCTTGCTTTTAATTTAAGGCAGCAGCATTTAGATTTGTAAATCCTAATTAAAATGTCCTGTGTTTCTCAATCTTCATCTGCACTTCTTCCTTTTTGGCTCCCACTACCCTATCAATTTCTTTCCCTTTCTTAACAAAAGCCATGGTTGGCACCACATCAATCAGCTCAAATTCCCTTGCCACTGCCTGTTCATTTCCATTAAAATATTATAAGCATGATAATCAAGCAACCTATTTTATATAATTAAGAGTTTTAATTACTTACCGCCAGCTTATCGATATCAATCTTGATAAACAAGACGTCTGAATACTTGGCAGCTAACTCTTTGATATACGGTTCCAAGAATTTACAAGGTCCACACCATGTAGCCGTGAAATAAACCACCGTCTTCACCAAAAAAATCAAAAACCACGTTAAACCATTTAATATTAAACAATCAAATATAACTCCCATGTATATAAAGAAAAGAAATGGCTACTCACCAGCTTGCTAGTTTCTTTGTTGGCATCAAATTGAGCCTTCCATTGGTTCTTGGAATGACACTCTATAAGCTGGTTGGTTTTTACAGGGCTAAATCCATGTGGGTTCTCGAAGTCAGACATGTTTGCTCCCATCTTTAGAAGAAAAAAAATTAAGCTAAGTTGGTGCTTAATTAATTTCTCAAAGAAAAAGTTGCTTACAACTTACAAGAGGAGAAGATTGAATTTGGTTTGGAGTTGAGAGTGTGGTGGTGGGGATGGCTTTATATGACTCATGTTGTCATGATCGCATCAAGCTTCGATTCCATGATAGTGGCTATTCATTTTTTAAAAACTATATATGATTGTCGGTATTTGGTTCTATACTTCTAGCATATTATCTTCATAATCTTAATCTCATGGCCGCAAGAATTAATGACTAAATAAAATGAAATTATACGGCTTGATTCTGCGAAAAGGATTCTTTTGTTACTGGCCATCCATTGTAACGCATTAGAGTTCGTAATTTTTTATTGATTTTGTAATGAATTTTCCTGAGAATCTAACCATATCAAACCATCCTGTAACAATTTGAGTTAGTGAGAATTATTAGCTGTATTGAACTAAGGAACTAATAGAAGGTAATAACCATTACGACATGTTTGAGTTGTCGACAGATAATAAAGGAGCAGTTAATCTTTTGAAAGAATTTATACAAACACAACTTAGTTAAAAAGAAACGTTGACAAGTATAAAATGATGTCAAATACGGCATTTAAATAATGTATTAATGGGGAAAGTGAAGTCAACTGATTAGGAGAATGGGGAAATGGGAAATGGCCATAACAGTTGTGATTTGTAAATGTACGTAGGCACATAGAAAATATGCAGAAATAGAAGATGCGTAAGCCATTTTAATTTTGTAGCCACTGAGAGAGCATCTTCCTTTATATATCTAATGGTCCTATATTTAAAAGTGGAGCATCTTATTTTTTTTATATATTCAAGTACAAGAACAACAACATTACTGGTCTTGTGTAACACTCTTATTATAGCCAATAGCAAGATAATGAGAAACCATCATAGTTCACTTAAAAACCAACTTTTTACAAGAAAAGTAAAAAGAAAAAAAAAAAAAAAAAGGCAGAGGTAGAGGTAGAAGTTATAGTGACAATTGAAAAGCTATAAACTTGAGGTCATTCTTACATTTAATTCCTTCGGGGATAACCGTATTTGTTAAATTAGAGAGGAAAAGATGCTTTTGACAAGATCATAGCAAAAGCCAATACGACATTTGAGGTCGGCAGTAGAATCGTAGTTCTGACATTCTGAGCGCCCTCAATTGATGTTATTGGTATGTTTTTTTAATTATTAGTGCAGTCATTATCTAGCATCTTATTCTTAATTAAGACAATGACATGATGGACCATGCATGCAGGAATATATTGATTTAACATGATGGACCATGCATGCAGGAATTTATTGATTTAACTTGTTTGAGTTCAGTGGTATATTAATAAATACATATTTTTCATTAATTTCTTCCATAAATATAAAGTAACAGTTTGTAATTGGTTAATTTGTATTTGATCAAACATGACTCATTGTTGGATAAATATGACTTATTGTTAGATAAACCAAACCCATTATAAGATGACACATCGCGTTTATGAGAAAAAATAAATAAAAAGTCTTTGTCCGTGTAAGACTACTCGTTGTATATAACTATATATGTCATTTTGTTAAACACCCAATTGGCTCCAAGACCCTTTTTACAGTTGATCATAAGTTTTTGTCATACCATTTATTGGTTCAGACTCTAATTCTCTCTCATTCTGTAATTGATTTCAAGTTTTCTCGTTTATTCGAAGTTGCAGACATGATTACGACAGTATCTGTATGACTTTGATTGATGATTTCTCTGATGCACCCTTAATCTCCACAATCATTACAGGGAAAGGTAATATACCCAATGCCACAGCCGCAAACTTGGATTTCGACAAATATCAATATGCGGTCCACATGTCATATGTTACTAGTTGAAACCAAAAAAAATCCGCAAATTGAAGTATGATTTGCCAGTTTGAAACCGTTTCATACAGCAGACCAGATGCTCGTCCTGAATGTCCTGTTACCTATAGATTCTTCATAGTTCATATACGAGGCTCAAGGGTCATCGCTAAGGGTGTATAAGAGCCGAGCCAAAGACTATAGGACTCGACACTCAGTTCGAGAAAATTTAACAAACTTGAGCTCGAGCTTGGATTTGACGAGCTCTAAAAACCAAGCTCGAAGCTCGACTTGAAATGATTTGCTGAGCTCGAAGCTCGGCTCGAGCTCGACTCGTTTAACAGACTTTAATCCAAAACAATCCACCAATAATCTTTAAAAAAAAAAAAAAAAAAAAAAAAACAATCTAAAGCTAACCGACTAGATTCTTCAAAACCTTAACGATAATGTAAGAGCAACAGTCTCATTTTTTAAGAAGAAAAAACAGCTTGGAGAAGGGAGAGTAAGACAAGATTTGTAATGCCATAGATTTGAGGTAGAAGAGCTAAAGGAAAGAAGAAGGAAAGAGAAAGAAGAAGGAAAGAAGAAGTGCGGCTGTGATGGAAATAAGGAGAAAAGAAAAAAGAAAAGAAAGGAGAAGAAGTGCGATTGTGATGAAAAATGTGCTAGGGTTTTTAGAATAAACAATTTATATGTAAAATAATAAATTACATAGACACCCCTATACTTGAAAAACTTACACCTTATATTTAAAAAACTTACACTCATACCCTTTCGAGCCATGGAGGCTCACGAGCCTATTGAGCCGAGCACTGGGTGGCTTGGACTCGGCTCGAAAGGCACTTGAGCAGCTCGAGCTCAGCTCAAATCGAGCCGAGCAAAACTCGAGCTTTTCTCAAGCCGAGCTCGAGCCGTTCGCGAACGGCTCGGCTCGGCTACACCCCTAGTCACCGCTTTATGTTCAGAAAACGGATTATAAGATTGAATGGAAGTTCCACTTTAAGATGATTAGTTGGCACCAAATCCAATCGTGAATACTTCAAGAAATTTTATGGTAAAAATAATTACCCAACTCTTATCTGGTTTTCCATTTGATAAATATCCTCGATTAACTCAACTACAAAAATAAAAGGGGTAACCTGGATGGGCTTTTAACGAGACATCAACCCACATTAAAACCATGTTTCATGTTTCATGCAAGTCTCAAAAAGGAAAAGAACATTTTTACCACCCACCACATAAGCTAGTAATCAGACACCCTATAGACACCTAACCAGGGATGATATCATGATTTCACACCAAGGTCAGCTGCTGCATAACCACCTTGAACTGCCCCACCATGGTTATTGTAAGGGTGCCCACCACCCCTGCCTCCCCTTCCCCTATTGTTATAGTAGTTCCTTGGATAATAGTTACCAGGCTGATCATAATATTGGTTGCGGCCATTCTGGTAGCCTCCACCTCCTCTGCCACTGCCACGACCTCCACGACCATTTGAATAGCCCCTACGGCCACCAGCACCAGCACCACCGCCGCGACCACCTCTTTGATTCTGATAGGGTCTTCGGGGAACATACTGTTGTTGCTCCTTAGGCTCTCCATCTCCATGATTTTGCTCCAACTCTGCCTCGTCTTTGACCTGTTCTTCTTGGACTGAGACACCTTCTGGAAGGTTTTCTGTCTCCAATTCATCCTGCAATGCAGAATCCAACCAAATTCAATCAGATTGGAAGAAGAAAAAAAATTGACAGGAAAAAGTTTATCTCATGGCTAACTAAAAGCACCTTTTGAAGTTCCTCAGCAGGACTAGATTGATTATCCCCAGTTTCATGTTCTTGATAATTCATGGTGTCTTCATCCTGAAAAGAGAATAAAATTTATTATATGTCTAAATATAAGTGAACCAATATATGTCTAAATATAAGTGAACCAATACACTTTCGGTTCTTGAGATTATGGAAAAAAAAAAAAAAAAAAAAAAAAAGAAAGAAAACCAGCAAAGACAGAAACACATTCTCTTCAGCTTAATCATTGCAGAAGGATCTCCACCAGGAAACATCCAAAAGATTTAAGAAACACTAGACTGTTCCCATGATGTTAAGAAGTGCCCACCAAACACAAACACAGCATACAAAAATAGAACTCTCAGGGAGAAAGTTTGTGAAGGTAAATGCACAGATAACTCATCAAAACACAAGTCACGTGAAAAATAACAGCCCAGATTGAGTAAAAAGTGATTATGGCTAAAATAAAAGATCTGTTTGGGTGAACAACCAGCAACTGTCTGATTGAAATGCTTAGGATAAATTGCGTTTTAATTTGTCCTCTCAATACTATTCAATAATCTATGCAACTAGATTTGCAAACTGTAACATTTACTATATAAAGAAAAAAAGTTATGCAAACCATATCAATTCAATAAAAGCTTTAAACCATAAATGCTGTAAAAATTAGAAACCTGACCAGATGTATAACAAAACTTCTTAAGCATAGCTAAAGCCAAAAACATATAATTCAAGAGAGAAATCAGAAAGTATAAAGGAAACAAGTGATTCTACAAAAGCATAAACATGCAAGAACTGAGATATGCCTCATAAATGCCACAGATAATTAAAATGCATTGGTCACATCATGAGGAAACCGAAGAGTACAAACTGTAACTTGCAAATAACATAAATATATAGGTAATCTAACATGCACGTGCATACACAGAAAAATATGCATTTGTATGAACAGAATAAATTTTAAAAAATGAATAACTAGATTGCAAGACAATGGCTATGTTCAAATAATTTAACCATGCGCATACAAGTACATGAATAATAGTTGAACCAGTCATCATAAGCCCATGAAACATGAAAAAACAGATAGTGAAAGCATTGACAAAATTTCAAGGAATCCGATTTCTTCAATCCGCACTCAGCATGGTATATCTTTTTCATAACACTGGGTAAGAATATGCACAAATATTTGGACACAACTGAATGGTTAGACTTCCCACAGGACCTGACTCATCACCGTTTAAACATAATATTCCAGCATCCAAGGATTTTGGTTCCATTTCGAGAAAGGAAGTCCAATCTATAACAAAAATAACAGCATCCTCAATTTTGGATGGTTCTTAGAAGAAAGTTATTATACCATGGGCAAAACCACTGTCGGAAAGTGTTACAAAGAAGTGAGCATGCAGTCCACACTATATCTATATAGACAGCTTAAAAATGAGAAATAACTAAAGACTCAAGACATAAAAAAGGCCCTGGAATCACGAGACCCTAAATTGTCAAAAGTTAACGCAAAACAATCTTAAGTGTTAAATTAATTGGATAGCTCAAAATTGTAGTTTTAATGTTGTGTTATCATACACAACCAAGCAATAGAATCACCAGCATAACAAATAAGAGAGAGGGAACCTTCAAAACTTATCCAAAATACCATCTGCAATCCCTTCAACCTCTCTTAGACAATTATAGTTTCAACTTTTTGCTCAGTTTAATCTAAGCCAAGCATGACACTTGCTTACTAAACAGCATTAAACTACTCCATGACCTAACTTTCAGTTGCACTTTTCCTTGATCCTTGACAGATGAATTAAAACACTCACCAAAGTATTTTCCGTTCTCTTCTTACTAGAATGATAAGCAATTAGTCCACGCTTTAACAATTTCTTTTTTCAAGAAAGAGCTCTCAAAAACTGGATACACAAAATTTGTGGCCCTTAAAATCAATATTATATGTGTTTTCCCTTACCAAGCTGGAAAATATAAATACACAGACAAAAGTAATTATGCTAGATTATATAGGACAGCAAAAATGTACTGATTAAGGTCATGCAATTTAATTTCGGCCAGAAAACTGGAAAGCTGCATATTGAGTTTTCTAAGGGTTAACTTTGGAGATTTCTTGTCATTCCTTTTCTTCATGCATTTATGTGAAAAGCTAGATCTTAACAAGTACACTAAAAAAATAAATGAAATGACTCCAAGACAACCCAACTCAAACTCAATTAAACCACAATCCCAAAGTAGTTGGGATCAACTTCAACAGTCAATCCATGCAAAACCATTCATGTTCATATATGATCACTTCTCTCCTTAAATCAATAAGCAATCAACAATGTAAATGGGCAATATGGGAGGATCACAAGAAAAGGGAAATAATGAGAACGTTACCAAACAAGCCAATAAATATTCAAACACTTCTTATTTCTTTAAGTATCAATAGCAAGAATAATTGTACAAAACACTAATACTCAACACTGTTAGTACTGGCAATTTCAATTGGCTCGATTTCTTGGAGTTGTAAATGAGGACTTCAGATCAAATGACACTCACACTAGTGTAGGGAGAATTTGGTTTGAATAGATTTTTCAAACAGATCTACAGAGACCACACCACAAATCTCTCGGCACACCCATGTTTACAAGATAGAAACTTTGAACATATCTTACAGAGATATCGCAGTTCAATGCTGACAATGCAACACACAACAGGCTATAGAAAAACCTTGTTCAACATGTACTTCAACAAATATGTCATAAAATAAGACAATGTCAAAAGTTCCATCCTCAACAGTACCAAAAAGCTATTTACAAAGTGGTTCAGAATTGACTATTCTTTTTACATGTCTAGTTTGAAAGAAAGATACGAGGTACTTAACAATCTCACTCTATAAGAAGTCAACAAATATGTCATAAAATAAGACAATGTCAAAAGTTCCATCCTCAACAGTACCAAAAAGCTATTTACAAAGTGGTTCAGAATTGATTATCCTTTTTACATGTCTAGTTTGAAAAAGATACGAGGTACTTAACAATCTCCACTCTATAAGAAGTACTTATAAAAATTCTTTTACCCATTTTTGCACACTTATAGATGAGAAATGAATCAAGTTGTAATCTAGTCAATATCAAGGCAAGCCAGCAGCAACCACAATTAGGTGATAGAAAACAACATATAGGCTTCTTTCAAGGATTAACTTTGTGGCAGAAAATATAATTTCCACAAACTTTCATCATGCCCTAATGTAACTTGGGAACAAAAGCTTCACTGAACAAGACCAAAACATACAGCACCACATTAACCAACCAAAAAAAAAACCTTATCCTATCACACAAACACAATAACAATGAATAGAAGTAACCAAAAAGAAAAATTACAATCAATGAATAGAACGTCTGAGCACTATACCAAAACTCCACAGACAATTATTTTCATAAAGGAAAACTAAATAAGTTAAGCAATACCTTCTCCTCATACTGTACAGCTGAACCTTCCACCTGCACTGGCACTGAAACTGGAACAACAGAACCATGTATTGGCACCTGAAAAGAGCCATAATTGGCTGCTGCAGCCATTTCCACAGGCGCTTTCATCTCCGGCGTGGTCGTAAAATAATCTGAACCCATAATCTTGTTAAGCCTTTCCCTCAATTCTGCATCTACAGAAACCCAAAAACCAAAATCAGGCGAAGAAAATAAAACAAAACCTAGAAAAGAGCACAAAAGTTTGAAACTTTACAAGTGACATTAGCATTGGGCTCAATAGGCTGGTCAGCGTTCGCAAGCCAGAGCCTGGCGTGCTCAATACAGCGCTGCAACGCGTTCTTGTGAGACAAGCTCGAGTCAATTGGTCGCGAGACCAACAATCCACTGAGCATTGAGATCATATCTAAATCCCTCTCGCCAAGCAGATCAGTAGCGTCATCAGTCACGTAATCGTACGTCAAACAACAGCCTCTCTCGTGCGTTCTGGTCAACATAGTGGCGGTGAAATCACTCTGCGACTTCACATCAAACAAAGACCCGAAATACAGCAAGTTGAGCAGATCAGACAAAACGACATCGTTATCTACTTGTAGGGGTTGGTTAATTACGGCGTCGGGTTGGTTAAGTGGAGGTGAGGATGAGTTGTTGTTGGTGGTATGAAGGGCGAGTTCCTCGGAGACAGCGGATGCTAAAGGAAGACGAAGCTTCTCGAGTTCGTCGATAAGAGAGGTGACTTGGGGCTTAGAGCGGAGGACATCCTCTTGTTCTTTGTTGAGGGTTTTGCCTTGGGAAAGGGCGTCTTCCATTTGGGTGATGCGGTTTAATTTTTTGCGGAGGGCACGGAGACGTTTGTTGATAACATTAAGGACAGGGCCGTCAGAAAGGTCGGAGGGAGCAGCGTTGGCCGCCATTATCGGGAAGGGGGGTAGGGTAAGGTAGGGTTCGATGGCGAATGCAGGCACCACCGAGAAAGGACGGTGGTGGTGGTTGATTGGTAGAGAATACGTTTGGGATAGGAAGCGGCGGATGGGTTTTGGGGAGAGCGAGAGCGAGAGCGAGAGCGAAGACTGAAGACTAGAGAAATGTATATGGGGTTTAGGCTTTGTCGTTTGTTTGATTGATAGTGTATGTGTGTTAGTGTTTAGTATTAGTTGGGTCTACTTTATAAGCCCAACTATAACTATTACTAAACATAGTGTTGAGATTTGACAGCAACTTTTTATGATTATTTACACAAGAAGACCATATATATACACTGTTTTCTTTGTTCATATTTAACTTAGTCACATGTTGTTATTTATTTATCAATTTTTATATTATTAATATTAATATCCATCTTGGGTTGGGGTTTTCATTACTCATCTAATTGAAAATAGTTTATTTCATTGTGCATTACTTGTTTGCACAGTAAAAAACAACCACAAAGCACGAGAGAATTGAATGGATTTAGCCTTTAAGGGCAATCATTAGTCAAGTTAAACTAGTTGGTTTATCGTTCATGCACTATCAATAACTTCAACAAGAGTTTTACTTTTGAAAATAATAAAAGACAACAACTGGACTAATGTTTTGCCGCCAGTTGGTGACATATTTGCAGCTGCAATTATCAAAATTTGTCTTTGCCCAATTATTAACCTCTCTCATTTACTTAAAAAGTACAAAACCAAACGACATTCCACTTAAAAAACCCACCAACAGGAAAAGCAAAGTTTCACCCACATGTGAAACTAAAAGATACTTTAATAAAATTTGGAGGTTTATTATTAGGTATTGCACTAGCATATATTCACATGGAACCCCCCCTCAGCTTGAAAGCGCTTCATTTCCAATTCAAAACCAGCGACTTACCGATGCCTGCCTAAACACCATTCAAATTAACCTAAAATTGGGTATACAAACAATGCATATTACAGAAAATAGCATCGTCAGATTCCGTCTCCCTGTAAATGCTACTATAAATTATGTCTGTTAATGCAGGATCTTCATAAGCTCTATCCTTTGTTGAGTCTCACTGTGTGCCATGAATTTGGTAAATCTGAGCCATTTTGGGATACTGAAAGTACTACTGACTAAACATAGAAACTCTACTTGTGTTTACTGTAATGCTTCATTCTCCGACTTCAATTCCACTAAGGGTCTATATTTTCAGGAAATGTGGCTCTTCCCAAGTATACATACTGCATCTCATCCTTCCATGTCTGCAAAACTTGATCTTAGAGGGCTATAAAAGATATACATACATTTTACAATACACAAAAGGAATTGAAAACTTACATCATGTCGAAAGGCAATTCGCAAGTTTGGTACATTTGTCTTATGAATATCATTTCCTTCTGGGCCTCTGATATAATAGTTATTACCAAGCCAGTGCGACTGTCAGAAGAAAAACAAGAAAAAAATAATAATAACTTGTCATATAGAACATTTGGCTCTGAATGTGACTTTATCTAATCAATAAACTCAAAACTCAAAGTAAAAATAAACTAACACATGGAAAATGTTTGTAAAATCTTGTTACTAGTTAGGGCATGTTGATTTCCATCAATTGTATCTAAAGGCTTTTCTCTTGTTTCTTTGAAAAGCAAAATGAAGTTTGCATCGCATATCATGGGGAAAAATAGCTCGGTGTTTCTTTAGAAATTAAATTTAAACTGCCAAAAGGTGTGAAATTGCTGTTTTTCAAGATCCTCACCTTTGCCATGTGTGAAAATCCTGATTGATAAACGGAATTCCTTACTATCTCACATAGGTCACAAGCACTGAGCTTCCACACCTACAAAATATTAATATCATAAGAATACATAAAGTGATGAATAACAAAATATGTAAACACTAAACATACCTTTGCTGCTACACTATATTCTTCCACAAGAGCTTCTTTTGTTAAATGAATTTGCAAAGGATCATCAGATGAAAGCGAAACATTTAGGCCACGCTGGAAGAACATAGGAAATGGATTGCGATGATAGTCGAGGAAGAGGGAATTGTTGCTCAGTGGTGACATTGACAATCCAATCTGATAACACCCCACCAAAAAAATTAATAGTAACTACAATTAAAAAAAAAAAAAAAATACAAATTTTAAGATTTTTCACCTTTTAACAGATAAAGTAATGATTGAGCAAAAAGGTGCTGCAGCATTCTCACCTGGAACCCTCTCTCCGTCAAAGAAAAAAAAAATCCTAGTTATACTAGTGATGAGTACTATTTTACATTTCTAGCAACATGGAATCTCCTTCCAAAATTCATTCAAATAAAGAAGTTCCAGTAACCCAACAGGCAAGGACAGACAGGTTTACAATGATAATATCATGCTTCGTGGCAATCACCTTCCAAGTAGAAATAAAATTCAACAAATGATTCAATGCATATGCCCAATTTTAATTTGGTAAGTGATAACCATCAGTTTTATAGAGTATAAGACAAAAACCAAAGCCACAAGAAGAATAAGGAAATGCCTAGTGATGTGAAGCCAACCTGAGCAAGGTAATACAAGTACTGCAAAACAGGGGATTTCCGCAAATTAATCCCATGAGATATGTTATTGCATAAAAGGAATCCAGCAGCCAAATGGTCAATTTCTCCAGCCTGCAAAGGTCATAAATATCATGGGCATTTCAACTATTATACGAAAACATAAACACAAAGAAGTTCCTCAAATGCGCAAGAGAGGACAGGAGAGTTTGGAGTCTTCATCCATCAAACATCTCCTCCCTTGCAATCCTTCTTTAAATAGCTAATTTGTGATCATTGTTACCACCCCTTCCAGCCGGCTCAAATGATTTGAAATTAAAAGTTTCATGAAAAGTAGGCTTTAGCTCAGGGTACAGTTAATATGGGTGTGCTATTCTTGGGGTGTGTGTGTTATGTCCAGAAGGTATAAGGAAAGTGCAGATCATCTCTTGCACTGTAGCACAACTTTAATTTTGTGGTGTGAACTAATCCGGGCAGCAAAATAAGGTGGTTCACTCTGACATCAGGTAGCTCCTTCTTACTGAATATTTTCATGCTTTTGCTAAGGAAAATAAAAAAGAAATAGAAAGATCTTTGGAAATGGTTGCATGAAGACATTAACGTTGTGTTGGACGAAGCCCAGTTAACAGCTTTGCTTTGGGCCTCAGACACTATAAGCTTTTCAGGATGTTTTGTTTTTCTTTATATACTTAAACAGCAAAAGAGCTGCATATCTTATTATATTAATAAAAATCATTGTTTTTTATTCAAGACTAATAACTGTAACAGTGACTTTACACTATACATATATATAAGCAGTAAGAAGTGGACAATAACCTCCCCACAGTGTGGCCGAAATTTAATTGTTGTCATTCCCTTTGATTCACGAAGCTGGGAAAGAAAACAGAAGCACAGAATGAATGATGATGGTTATTTAAAAAATACCAGTGATGGTGAACCCAATTGGTTGAAGAAGAAAGAAGCACTAAAATCATATGAAACATGTTAAATGTAAATAAGCATATAACACAAACCTTGTTGAGAGTATAAAAGTTTGCATAGCAGTAGTAAGCGTAATACGAGTACGCAGGATTGAAATCGTTGGTCCATTCAGCTGGTTTAGGCATGTGCTTTGTTGGACGCCTCTCTGGTTTACTTTCATCATCTACAAGGTCAAAACCGACAACCTGTATTGAGAAACAAATTAGCATTTGCTTACCTACTTCTACTAAAGATCTAAACAATTTAAAATATTTACAAAGAAAAAGATAGACAAAAGAACCCACATTGTATATATATATAGAAACTAACATAGCAAATAAATCATTTAAATTTTTTTTGATATTAAATGTTTCTCAATATATGACCTGCACAAAATAAAATTGACAAACAAACGTACCTGCATTAGAAACAGGTGAAGCTGAGGATGAGAGTTTGGATCAATTGTTACTTCAAAGAGGGGAATGAAAATATTATCAAGAATATTCTGAAAAGATTTAACAATTCCCATTTGCTTGTAAATGTTGTATAATCTTGGTAGCTGCACAGTGAATTCAAAAATTAAAACAATATAGGAGAACATTTAGAGCTCAACATGAAAATTCATCCAAGCCACATCCTGAAAAACAAGGAAATAATCTTACGAATAACAACCAAAAACTCAGATGCATAATATGATATTTATGCAATATATAAATTCATTTAAGAGTGGTGGGATGTTTCAACTTAAAACATACTTGTCATCCATTCTATTATTTTTTTCTAACATGTAATCAACTAGTCTCAGAAATTTCAAATTATGTGAGTGAGCAGTACACACCATAAGGTCTAGATACTTTTCATGCAAATTAACAAATTTTAATTTTTTTTATACCTAGAAATTCTCAAACCTTTCTTTCAAGTTCACAAAGTTCTAAATACCACCGCTAGATCCTACAACTTTCATAGTCAAGAAAGTTCTAGATATAATATCCCAAATTTTATCATCTTGTAAACGTCGAATTCATCATCAGTTCAAGCAGACATGTGATCCAAGTTTCCTTGACCATAAGTAACTTCACCACCTATTTGAACACGTCAAATTAAATGAACTTAGACACAATGATGAATAGGTATATCCATTGTCCCTCTGTAAGGTATTGTCTAATTATAAGCAATACTCATGAAATTAATTTTCAGCAAATTTTGTTGAGACCAACATTTTTTTTGGCAAAAATCAAGGGGACCTGTGTGATTTTCAGACAAATTTCGGACCTCCATTGACCTTTACATATGTATGTCATGCTCTATGCTTGAGACTTGTAATACCAACAAAATTTTGAAGTTTCAAGTAGTAAAAATGGTTTTTTAATAAACAGCAAAAAAATTTATTTCATAGTTTAGCAAAAGTATACAGTAAAATTGTACACATTTTAATTATATACTGGATTGGTTTTTCTAACTATTTTATTAAGTAGTTTTCATAAAATTAAAAGGAAAAAATAGTAAATTCACAAACTTCTCACTAAATGTTTCGTCGGAGTTCCAAATTCTCACTTTCAAACTTCCTTGTACCTCCAATTTAAATGATGCACTTCTCACTAGAATAATCTCTAACCAATGCAATTTTTATAAGTAAACACGTAATAAAAGACACCAAAGTAGATGCAACCAATGTACACAAGTATGACCCTTTGGATATTCAAATAGTATTGCATCTACTTTGGATATTTCAGAAAACATGTAAAAATGAAAATTTTGAAAAAAAAAATCATACTGAAAATATAATCACAATATGCTAATATAATAACTATGATAAAAGAAGTAACATCAAACAAATAACAAATAGTATAGCAAGTACCTGGATTAACCAAACAGCATTCTCACTATAAATTTCATTGTTAACGAACCAACTTGCTAGCTGGTCCCATTCACTTTGTTTCCTTCCATATACAGATATTCTGTATTCTGCCATCTGGAAACAACAAAACGAGGAACCTATGATTCATTCACTAATAATCTATCTCAATAAAACTAACAAGAAGACTTCCAAAATTCACTAGCGATTTTGGATCAAAAGTGGGAAATATTCAAAGAGACCACATGTTAAAATAAAGCTATTCAAAAAAATTAATAAGGATACCGATTGTTTACAGTAAGGAAAATTGGTAGAAACTCAAGGAATAAAAATTTCTTTTAACAATAAATGTCCACTAAAATTTTATAGGTGTTTGGATAAAATATATCAGCCAAATGCTACAAGATATAAGCGCCAAACAACAATTACTTGCAAACTCTAAGCCCTTAACTAAAGTTTTACGATGTCCGTAAACATGAAGGAACCAAATAAAGTAAATTTAAAGAGTAAAATAACCCTAACATTTACAATGGGTGGATAGAAGTTTGATTGCTTAGCTCATATTAATTGCATAAGATGAAATATAAGCAAAGTTGGACAAAAACTAGGAATAAATTGCCCTTAGAAGTAAAATATGACATTTGCAATTTCAAGGTTTTCTTTTCAAGCAATGACATAGGCCACCAAGAAAACTATATCACTAGCATGACTATCTGTCACATTATTCAGGAAAAAAAAAAAAGCAGCAACAATAGAAAAAACGAAAGAAGAAAAAGAAAATTAAGTGCATGTTCCCACATACATATGTGAGTGTACTCAGATAGATACCTGGTATTTGCTAGCTTCAAGATCTAATAAAACTTCCTTTGTCACTTCAGCCAAAAATCGTCCTGAAAGGTTCCCCCAACAGTCAGCACAGAAAACTTTTTTTAAGCACTCATTTGATATGATCGATTAATAAGCTCTTCCAATTCTTTACATATCATATGACTGCACAACTTGCACTTTTGAGGCCTCCGGTAATTTTTTTTCGAGCTTTCTTATTTTAAACAATAAAAAAAAACCCTCATATTATTTTATAAATTATACTATACTCTTCTTTATATTGAAACCACATTCAAAAACACTTTCTTTGACATATTACAGCACTATTGATGATTCATCACTCTATGATCAAGACAAATAATTGCATGAAATAAAAAAAATTAAAAAAATATATTTTTTTTTAGCTATATCGATATATATTAAAGGAAACATTTTTTATACCATTTTGATAATTTATTACAATGAAAGCACTTCAAAAGCTCTAAACCCAAAAGAAACTCTACCAACCTAAAACAGCTTAGCAATTAACAACCAACGTCTAGCCACTTTTTGTTAAAAACTCTACTTATAAAAGTTCTACATGCATAAATCACACCAGATGAACCTAATTCAGCTGGTTAAAATACTGTAAAGACCTTAAGTTCAGTATGTATATCCAACGGCAAAATACAACAAGAAAAAAATTATCAAAAAAAAAAAAAAAAGATTTGACTTGATAGCCTTAACAAGATACAGAGTTAAAAATATGGTAAGAAATTAACTGAAATCAAATAGCCAAACCTTGGATAAGATTGTCTTGCTTTAAGAAGATCTCTCTAAGTCTGCTTTGCCCACAAGGATTGTATTTGAGATTGAATTTGTCAAATCGATGGAAGGTACTCTTATCAGCATGAACATCCAACAAATCCACATTCAAATCATACCTACAGTGATTCACAGGCATTATGACAACTGAGAGCATAGGACAGTAGAAATAATTGAATTTCTGATAGATAGAGACCAATAGTAGTAATTCATACCCACTCAAGTCCAGACTCTCAAATACTTCCTTAAGTGTCATGTACTTTCCATCTCTAAATATAACAACCTGAGAAAAAGAAGTAATTAGCAAGTAAGGAGAAGCACCAATACATAGAACTGCCTTTATTGTGACTCATTTTCTAAGGTAAAAAAATTAAGGCTTAATCAACAAGCTAATATTTAGAAATATAAGGGGGTTAAATATATACCTCATCAGGTTCTTTTCTCAGTTTTGACTTGATGAAACGCAGAAGATGCTTCTGGTTCATACAAGCAGAATGATGCACATGTGTATCCACCTTTCGGATGTTATAGAAATCACGATGAGGGGCACCCTTCTGAGCCAAAAATTCCTTATCTGCCTTTACTAACAAATGGAGCCGGAATTTCTGTGTATTTTCCAAATACAAGTTATAAAAACTGTCCAAATTGTGTCAAGACAAACAAGAACCTAAAAGGTTTGATTAACAATACCTCCTCGAGAAACCGTAGCCTGTGGTGGCATGCAGAGCGAACATTTCCAATAGACATAATTCTCAGAATGTGATGCATATCAGTAAAAAAAGTGGTTGAATTTGCGACAGGAAAAAGATCTACAGTATCTGAAAGAAATTCACAGTTGACGTAAGTAATCAATCAAAAAGAGTAATCATATATCAGCATTCATCATATTGCCATTTTAAATAAAGGGATAGATTGCCGTTCCAAAATTTACAGATGCCTTGTTATATAATCTCCTAGAAAAAGCCTAAGCTAAGTAAAAAATGGCATAATATAGAACAATGTTGTACAGTTAGGGTAGAATTCTATGCTTGATTCATGGTTATTTCCAAGACCTACTATTTTCAAAGTATTGATTTTAGCTTGATAAAGTTTATAAGAAAACATAAGCAAGTTCTACATAGATAACAATACTTTATTCACTTTCGTTCTGCTTGATATGCATCTGGTGTTTCTACTGCAATTATTTGCTTATGTTTGGGCATCCTTCTGCTACAGCTGATTCCTCACACTCATATTGTAAAGAAGATGATTTCAAGCCTAAAGAACTATTTTCTTTCTGGTGCAACCTGTAGTAAGGAGTATGTAGCCCTAATTCCAACAGTATTATTTAGCACATGTAGCTCTGTATAGAGGTCCAACATAAATTAACTCCTTGAGTGGATAAATATGATATCTTCTTATTTGGTGGAATATTGTTACATGTATTTCCAGGTATAAGCAGTAGTTTAAAGTAATTAGAGATTACTAAGACCACAACATGAGTTACTATGTAGTACCTACCATTTTCACTTGCATAAACGTGTACGACTCCATCCTCCATCCTAAAGTGATGCTGCATGAATGAAAAAATTAGCATCCAAGATTAGATTAACAAAATTAATGAAGGTGCCACTTGCTTACCATAAAGCAACTCCTGCCCCAACTGTATCATGTTCAAAGTTGAAACAAAACTTCTCATTTCTAAATACAATTAAAAAGCAAAAATAACTCACTGTACTTGCTTCAACAGGTTCAAAGTGAAATGGATCAATATTCACTTCTGATGCATAAGGTTCAGGGACAGGTTCCTTCAACCATGGAGCAACTTCTTCAGTATAAACATAACTTTTTCGCAGATCCAAACACTCTTGAAGCATTTTCCGCACTTCCTCATCTTCTATGGTTGTTGACTCTAAAAAACATAAGTTCCAAAACAAGGTTTGTCAAGCATGTTTCCTCAAATTTAAATTTCAAGAAAATTTGAGAACAACCAAACCTAGACAAAGGTCCAGTGAAATTCTCAAAGACTAAAAGTTGAAATACCATGCAATGTAGTTCTCAGAGGCAATATTACATTGGGCAAAGCAGTATCATGCCCTGTTATCTGTGCTGAAGCCGTATCTACCTTTCCCTTGCCATGCACATCGATACCAGGTTTCACTACATTTATACTAGCTCGACAATTTTGATCTTGAACAAAGTTCACAAGATCAGTTCTGAATGGAACAGCAGAAGAATTTTGAATTTTAGAATCAACATCCTGCAAATCCATTTGCAAAAAGATATTGCATTAATTACGAAAGCTTCATTTTCAAATTCCAAAAGTAAAACAATTGGCTATCAATATGTTTCCGGCAAGGTGACAATATCATTTATGTCTAGTCAAATATAGTAGCATCAGGCTAGGTAACAAATAAAACTATAATTTTTCCGTTTAATATAAGTAATAATACACGTATTCCAAACAAGGAGAATGAAGTATTAAAATATGCTAATAAAAGTAATACTACGCGTATTCCAAACAAGCAGAATAAAGTATTAAAAATATGCTTCAACAAATCTCTCGCGAGAAAAAAATATATAAAGTCTGAAACCCCTTATAAGCATCAGAAACCTGCAACATCTGTTCCCTAAATTTACATGAAGTAGTGTTGTATGGTTGATATAACATCTGAAACAATTCCATAAACTAAGCATAAGTATACCAAAATAAAATGTATGCATGTTGAGCATGAAATACTAAAAAGAAACCACACATGAACATACATTCATAAAATTAGCAGAAGAATCAATGTCCTCATAGCTGAAATCCATATCATCTTCATTTGCAAGCTCTGTACCGTCATCCTCAGAATCCTCAGCATTTTCAAAGCCACTGCCTCCGGGAGATCTCGGAGTCCGTAGAATGCCAACAGATGCCAGCCTTGCACTGGAACCACCGCGGTTAAAAGGCTGATCCTCCCCTGCAAAAAGAAAAATAAAAAAACAACATAACTTATTTGCAAAAACATCTAAACATAACGAAGGCAATTAAAATTTTCCATGAATTTGCAACCCTGATATAACGTTACATTTAATTCCTCGCAGTTTAAAGGAAATAAAACACATGGCATACCAAGTCTATGTGATGTTTGCAGCGGCGGAAGTCCAGAGGGAATGAAATTGAGTTTATCAAGCGAAGAAGCGGAGCAATTCTGTGCCCTAACCCTAATCGCCTCATCAAACTTAGCATCTTCTTCTAACCAATCATTTCTCACAGACACATTTGGCAACGAAGAAGACATGGTATTCTTATAACGTCGAAGCATGCTGTCCTCCAACGACCTCGACTCACGATTCTGCTGTCTTGTCATCCCATCTCCATCAGAACCATATCCTCCCTCGCTATACTCTTCTTCTTCGTTTTCTTCTTCGTCGAAATGGCCGTCGCGGTTTTGAGGGAGTTCGCGGCGGATCTCGATGAGACGATCAAGGACTTGGTCGACACTGCGCTTGTGAATGAAGAAGGCCGAGATGGCCATCAAGGAAGCTCCGACGAGAGCCGCCATGGCCAAGTGTAAAGAGGAAGCTGAAGATGATGAATCCATGGGAGTGAAGATAAAACCCTAACTGCTATAATGTGTGCAGGGTTTTTATACGTATGGTCTTGGTGGCGAGACTGAGGAGTCGTCAAGTGAGTGGTTTCTAGTGTCGGAAAAGTCTAAAATCATTTCAGCGGGTTTTTGATGGACCCGTTGAGAGACACATGTACACACACTTTTGAGGTTTCAGGTGTTGGCGACTTGGCGTCACCTTGAAACCAATTTAACTAATCATACCTTCCCAAGTTTGCATTTAAAAAAATAACCTGAAAAAATTTTACAATTTTTTTAAGTTAGAAAAACTTATGCGGCACACTTAGATTCATAAAACATATAAAACAAGTTAAACTGAAAAGATTTAAATATAAGTAAGTAATATTATAATTAACAAAAGTTAGTTTAAATTTTAAAAATTAAAAACAACTCCCTCCCTTCAAAATCGTTTAATTGAGCAATATAGCCAAAAAATGACTGACGAAACACCTTTGATTTCTCTATGATTTCCGACGATAAAAGTTTCCTATGTCCAGCCAATTTTCAATTTTAAAGATTTGTTGCACAAAATAATGGTTGATATTCACAAAGAGGAGGAAAACTCAACACCACTCCAAATCCTAGACTCCAGCGGCGGCAACTGTTCAAAGGCTATCGAAGAAGACGCTCCAGTGGATTATCCGATGAGTCAAGGTGGTCCAGAGGTAGAGGAGACAACGGCAGCACAAGAACAGAGAAAAGAATCAAAAAATGGTTCTAAAGAGGAGGACGCCGACGAGAATTCAAGCGAGGAAGAGGAGGCCGATGAAGAAATGGTACGTTTTTTACTGGTGGTTTTGAACTTGATGAATAATTTGATTGGTTTGTGCGAATTTGGAAGATATGTAGATGGTTTTATTGTTACAGTGGTTATGGCGTTTTGTCGAGCAGTTGGCGAGCATCGGGGGAGCAGCTTTGTTTGGGTTCCAAAGGATGGGGGAAGGCAAGGGAAGCCATAGGGAAGTTGTTTCTGTAGCCCTCTAACCCCCCTATTCTGCCACCTCCTGCCATCCTAAGACATCTACCTGCCACAACAGCCTCTGTAAGGCCTGCATTGGCTTCCCCGGTCCTCTCGAAGCCAAAAACACCCACTCCTCGATGCCCTTGAAGCCCATATGCCCCAAATTGGCACCCTATTGGTTGTTTTGGTTTCTTTTCTTTGTTGATATTTAGTTTATATTGATTGTGCAAATTTTCTAAAGCATAAACTATAAAGACTATGGGTTGGAGGTTGTAAGCGATAACGTACCGTACTTTCCTGTAAAGGTGATAGTTACGTCAAGTTGGCAAGTTTTTATGAGAATAACAGAGATTTTAGAGGAACAAAAAAAGGGTATGGACCGATTCAAAGAGAGTTGTTTCGGTCATTTTGCAAACATCGAAGAAAATTGGAAAAATGCGTTCTGGGGGCAGAGAGTGCATTATATGTTGTTGCACTCAGTTAAAAGCCAAAAAAATGAAATGTAGTTCGTGGTGGATGGGAAGCCATTACGTTTTGGGATGATGGAATATGCCCTAATGACAGGCTTAAGATGTGGGGCATTTCCAGATGCGGAAGAGCAAGAGAGAATAACGAAGAGTAAGGCAACCAATAACTTGGCTAAAAAGGTTTTGGGGGGGAAGGCGTCTATTACGAGACGCGATTTAAAGGAGAGGTTAGGAGAAGGTGGGTATACCTCTTCAGAGAAGTTCATGATGTACCTGGTATGGTTCGTGCATTCAATCATAATGGCTTCTAACTCAACAAAAGTCGTTAATATGGATTGGGTGAAGTTTGCAAGCAACATGGACTTCTTTAATGCTTATCCGTGGGGACAGTTATCATTTCAGCTAACCATCAAGTCCCTACGTGGAAAAGACATGACGATAAAGTATCGCCAAGCTGTCGAGAAGAATAGATCGAGCACGTACAATTTGTTTGGCTTCCCTTGGCTATACAGGTAAATATTAATAGTTTTTTGTTATATTTTTTGTATTATATGTGTTTTAATTATGATATGAACTATTTTTTTACAATGTAGGCTTAGATGTATGAGGTCGTCCATGTCCTAGCTAAGTTTGGGGGGGAGGGGAGGAAGAAGACTTCGGATGATCGATCACAATTTCCTAGGATGTTGAGGTGGCACATCGAGATGTATACCCATTGGGATTACGATAAAATAGACATGGAAATTCAAACAGCCCGGGTAAGATTAAAGGATTAATCTTTTGAATATGCACTTGCTTTTAAATGTGACTTAAATTTGATTGATTTTTTTTTCTTATTGCAGGGAGTCATTCGTCCCTTTCTTACCCTTATTAGGGGTGAAGTAGGAAAGGATTATGTTACATCGTTTAAAGCACTAGACGATGTAGCAGATGAAAGGATAGACCGCCTAATGCAGGACCTAGAAGGGGACACGCATGTGAGTACAGTTGCAGGATCACTACTTAAGAATGTTGTTGAGGCCGATAATGAAGCTCCAATCGGCAGAGGGAGAAGGATGAAGAGTTCCGTATGCCTCCACCCAATTGGCAAACCGATACAACGCTTTGTCGAGGTGTCTAGGTCGAGAGAATGAGGTGGTTGACCTCATAAATGGTATGTTTGAGAGTTTTATAACAACCATTTATGAGAGATTTGAGAAGATGGAAGAGCGGATGAAAAAGGTGGAGGAGAAAGTTGATAGGGTGGAGGAGAAAGTTGGTGGGGTATTGAAAGTGGTTGAAGTGCAACCTAAGCATAAAAGAGAGAGCTGAAAGAGTAAGCACATAAAATCTCCTTACAGGGTAGTAATGTATGGAAAGAATAGGAAAAAGAAGAAAAAAATGAGGAAGTTTGTGAAAGTGGAGAAGCAAAAATTGAGGAGGGTAAGGAGGAAGGCGAAGGAAGTGGGAAAGTGAAAATGGAGAAGGGTGAGGCGGGACACGAAGCAAGTGGAGAAGTGAAAATGGAGGAGGGTGAGGAGGAAGGCAGAGGAAATAGGCAAGTGAAAACTGAGGAGTTAAAGGTCGATTTGTATAGGCCAATAGATGAGGAAAATAAAAAACTATCTTATTCCTATTACAATGATTCTGGAAGTGATGGGCATGTGAAGTGCAAGACCGGAGATTATCCTCGAGAGTGGTTTGAAAAGATGTTGACAATGGGTAGGTGGCTCGACGACTCGGTGAGTTATTTTCCCTAGTTTTTCCTTATTTTTGCTTATGTTTTCCATAAGGTATTATATACTTACCATGTTGTTTTCATTTGATGCAGCACATTCATGAGGTATTGGCACTTATAAGGCTATGACAGAGCAATAATGGTGATATTTTGTATCCACATTGTGCCATCACCGATGTGGCCTTTGGCCAAAGACTAATAACTACATATGACACTTTAATGAAAAAAGCCAACGGTGGAGGTGCAACAAGGGGAGGCAAGAGGAAAAAATTGGTCACAGATGACTTCAACGATGTCCTTGATGATTTTCAATTTGATGAGAGAATGATGCAATATGTACGGGGAGGAAGGCCCAAATATCGCAACAGTTGGGCAAACGTTAAAAGAGTATACTGCATCATGAATATCAAGGATATGCATTGGATAACCGTCGTTTGGGTACTAGATGAGGGCTTGCTGCAGATCCTTGATTGCAACCTGAGTATTTATCAAGAGAGGTAGTTGGAGACAGAGTTGCAGCCGCTATGTATATTGTTCCCGCGGCTGTTGCGCAACAGCGGGATGTTTCAGCACTTAAGTGATGAACTACTAATGGGAAAGTGGCCACTCAAGCGCCTTCCCATCCCGATAAATGACTCGAAGTAAATTTTGTATAAAACTTATATGATACAATTGTTTCTAATTCTAATGTTTTCCTCCTATTGTAGTGCTGATTGCGAGGCATATGCACTAAAATTTATTGAGTTTGATATGACCAACACCCCAATGGACAGGTTGAATGACGAAACAATAAGCAACTTTTAAGAGCGGTTGGCCGTTGAGTGCTTCCATAGGCATATGGATCCCTTTTGACTGACCAAAACCCAATCCAAGTCATTGTTGATACTGTTATCAAAAGGTATGAAAGTTGGACTTAGAGTTTTGTAGTTTATGTGAAATGCATTTCTTATTGGGTTGTCTTGAATAATTGGATTGTCTTGAATTGGATCAGCTAGTGTTGTTAGGCGTCAGGCTGTTGATACTTGGGTTGTGGTGTTATGTATGCTTTGTGGCCAAGGCCAAGGCTGGATAATGTTGAAAAGGGTGTCGTAAAAGAAGACAAAGAGGCTGCTACTGATGCTGAAGGTGTGTTGGATAATTGTGGAGAAGGGGGAAGTGGTTAAAGAGAATGATAAAAATGGAGGATGGAGGCTGCTACTTTTATTTGGGTGCATATAGGACATTTATTTGTTGTTTATAATGTTGTAATTTAATGTAATTAACACATTTAAGATTTGTACAAAAGCAATTCAGTATTTATTTCCCTCTTTTGAGTTTGAATTTATTTAGTATTCTTGTTAAATGGCGTTAATGTGTTGATGCAATTAGGTTGTCAAATTCAGAAGAAAAGCTGGAAAAAATAAGTGTTACCCATGATCGTTTAAGCAACTATATATATCGCCTAAGCGATCAAGGGTTTTCTATACATGATCGCTTACACGAGACCATAAATCACTTAAGCGATTATGCATTTGGGATGATTTTGATTCTGTCTTGGACTTGATCGCTTAAGCGATCCTAAATCACTTAAGCGACCAAGGCTAAAAGTGAAGAATCGCTTAAGCAAGACCCTAAATCGCTTAAGCAATCGTGCATCTAGGATGATCTTGATTTTGCCTTGGACTTGATTGCTTAAGCGACCAAGGCTAAACGTGAAGAATCGTTTAAGCGATCATACATCTAGGGTATTTTATCATAAATTCATAATGGATTCCCGAAATGATGCATTCGAAGGATCATCCCCAAATGAGTTTTACGTTCCATCTATCGAAGAAATGGAAGGGTTTAA